GAATAACGCGGAACCGAACGATGTTTATTTATTTATTTGTCTATTTAAGAGCAAAGCCACATTAGGCTATCTGCTATGTCCATCGCAGGGGTCGAATCCTGGATTTTAGCGTTGTAAGTCCGTATACTTACCGCTGCCTCACCGGCAAAAACAAATTTTGTAACAAAATTGTGTCTTTTTCTTTTATGTCTGGTTCACAGAAGTTCGTTTTTTCGGACTCTATATATTATGCAAATTATGAATAAGCAAGTGTGATTTCTAACACAGGTTCATCATTTCATTCAGTAGGCTTAGCTTCAATTTTATTTCTCGTAACATAATCCTATCCTATGAAATGTAATATAACAACTTAATCGCATGATACATTACATTTACTGATAGAAAAAATTAGTATTTCTAATAACATTTAACGGCTTTCTAAACCTACTGTCTGACTCTTTTAAGTTATTCAAGAAAAGCAAATAAATCAACTAAAAGTATTACGAGCACAATGAGCCATAATAAAAAAATAATTAAAAAAAAAGAAATTGTCTTGTCTTGTTTGTAATTAAGCACAAAGCTACACAATGGGTTATCTGGGCTCTGCCCAGCACGGGTATCGAAACAGGATTCTTGCGTTGTAAGTCCGCAGACTTGCCGCTGTACTACTGGGGGGGGGGGGAGGGGGCTAAAATGAAATAAATTGAAATGGCAAAGCTAAAACATTAACTAGTAACAATAGACCCATGCAACAGTTGTATTTATTGTTGACTATTTTGTTGGTTATTCTCAAGTCACAAAAATGATTTTATACATTCTTTCTCAGGACTAATAAAATTAAATATAACATAGAAATAAAAAAACCTATAAATATAAAGATCAAAAACTGCTTCGCGCTTAAAACTACTTTGCGTCACTAACATTTTTTCTAAAACAAAAACAAAGTTAATATACTGTTCTGACTCAATATAAAGAAAACTCATTGCACATCCACGTGATTATAAAAAAAAGGAAACTCCAGCAATTGCCATGTTTTAATTAATCTTAACTTTTATTCCAACCTGAAGGAAATAATAAGCTGAGAAGAAATAAACTGGTAATATAAAAGAATTAGACATGAATACTATCATAAACATATCAATAACAAGCACTTTACTCAAGAAACACAATACAGATGTAGAGTTCCCTGCCAACTACGATTTTTATTTAAAACCAGAGATGCAATAATGTACATGTTCAGATGTAGAGAAGCTAAATTCCTTTTGAAGTTCAGACTCTTCTCTCAGACTACTGTCATGTTTGTTTCTATCTATGTTCAGATGTAGAGGGAACTACACTCCTGTTGTAATATCTGGCCTCCTCCTAGATCAGATTGGTCTCTTTTTACATTATAAATTCCGAGAAAGAGGGAACTAAACTTCTTTTAATGCCACCTTCAAATAACTACCCTTTTTGCATATCTATCTCTGTTTATCTTTACACTGTACATCGAAACACTGTTAGAAGAATGAGTTAAATACTTTTATAAAATCGAACTAGAACTAGACTCGGGTACCGTTTTGAAGAAAGTTCTATTTTAAACAGTTTTACAATTATAGAAGCAGCTTATTTTCGTAGGTATGTTGGTATTATTCAAGCATTAACAAAATATTATCTTTGATCCTTAGCATTTTAAAGATTTCTCTAATAAAATGCAGAGCTATGATAAGAAATATCGTTAAAGATCGTTGTAACTTAAAGCAATGAATTTATTATTTAATGTCTACTGTTGCTATCCCTTCTGTGTTCCTCAACATTAATTAAAGGGGAAAAATCCTCAACATAAACTAAAACTTATAAGGTGTCGTTGTTTGTATATAGGTTATTAAAATGTGTTTGAAAGAAACCACAAACGCTGTAGAACTCTTTATTCTCATTTTAATCCATTTTATTAACAACATTACGTTAAGTTTTTACATAAACAACATCGTTTATATTAATGTGATGGTCTTCATAATCTTCCGGCTTATAAGCTCGGTTTTTCTTAAGTTTCGAAATAATCTTCAACTACGAAAAGAAAAAAAGGAAATGGATTTGTTTATTTTAATGAAAACAACAAGAAAAAATAATGCAAATCCACTTGAAATATATATATTTGTATGGATGTATATATGTGTGTAGGAAAGAGGGTGTGCCCATGCTACGTACTTTTTTATCGAATGACTTTAAACCTTTTAACTTTTTCAAATATGTAAAGTGAGAAAAATTGACAAATGATTAAATAACTCTATGGATGAAGAGTCGTGAAAGCACAAACAATTTAAACATTCTTAAATTAACACAAACTCATTCCACTAGAATCTGTGCTAACTAGAAGCAATATATCTATTTGTAAGATACAACGACATGAGAAGTGCTCTTTTTTTTAAAGGTAGAGTTTGTTGCTTTCATCCTGAAATAATGTGTTGTAATTAGTTTTAATCCTGCTTTATTACCTCCGCCACCAAAAGTGAACGGAGGTTATGTTTTCACCTCTGTGTGTGTGTGTGTATTTGTCAACAATATTTCTCGAAAACGCCTGAATAAATTTAGTCGAAAATTGGTATACATTTGGAATATGACCTTACTTGGAAGTGAGTAGTCTTTGGAGTGTCAAGGTAAAACAATAATCTGATTTTGATGAAACTTGGTGGACATATGTAGAAAAGTATTCCTCATTGTTCTACCAAAACTGGTCCATGTCCGTTGATAAAGACGGACACATTTTCGTATTTTTTAGATACGCGGCGGAAGTATGCGCTCTACTGAGTGTTCCTCTAGTTCTTTATGTAATTCGAAGATGTTATCAAAGTTCTCAAGTGTATCACAGAATACAAATAAATTCACAGCTATCACCAGAAAGATAGCAGTAATAATGTGTGTTAATTGTAGTTTTGGAGGGTTATGTTAATCGTTTGAGACTTTTGTTTGAAATTCTTTGTCGATCAGTACTTTCAGCGTAGGTATCAAAGAAGTATTGATTGACGAACGTGGAACTTCAAGTCGAAGGGAAGAGATGGCAAGTATAATACAGTAAATATTTTGTAAGTGTAGCCCAAGATTAGGCCAAGTGTTTCCTTACAGTTCCTTATTTTGAAATGTAACTGGATTTGGAATCAAATAGCAAGAAATATTTTAAGAAAGGAGAAGCACTTTATAAACTGAAGTGACACTCAGTAGAACGCATACCTCCGCTATGCAGCGTTGATCTTATTCGGCTCTCAAAAAATAAGAAAATATGTACGTATGTCCGTCGTTACCAACAGACACGGACCATTTTTTTGGCAGAAAGATGGTGAATGATATTCTACATATGTCCACCAAGTTTTATCAAAATCCGATGATTTTTGACTAAGTTATAGAGCAAAAATAGTGTGAAAAATCGGTCCCCATGTTAACAGATAGGGATTTTTGGCCTTACTATGACCCTGACCTTTGTTCTTGACCGTCTAAGAACCAATATCTTCTATATTGGGTCATCGTTCAAATGGGTACAATCTTTCGTCTCAAATCCATTCATCCGTTTTTGAGAAATCTTGCTGACAAACACACAACAAATACACACAGGGATGAAAACATAACTTCTTCGGTGGCGGAGATAATAAAGATATGTGTACATTATTCGTATAAACTCCGTGGAAACTAAACTGTAAAATGTTTACAACTATCAGCAGAGGTTTACGGTAATTAATGTTTAGTTGGACTAAGATCTTATAGTAGCGCTTGTAAGAAAATTGGCTAAAGTTACTGTCACTGTGGGTTGTTCTATTAACGTCTTGGAATAACATTTGTTCATTAAGATTGAAATGTATCGTCGTGGGGTGGACACGGATGACAAAAGCATTCATTTTTACTCTGGATGTTATTTACACTTCTAAACGAAACAAAGTAGCCAATCCTGTCACGAAAACACCATTATACCACTTCCCGCAACTTGAATTGACGGGATAATACACACAGGGTCGAGCGCATCATGTGTGTTCTTCATATTTTTCCTCTGCCGTTAGGACAGTAATGTCATTCACTTCCCTTGGTTTGCGCTATAAAAACCTGAAAATGTGCTTTTTTTTTTTTCTTTTGCAGCTGACAGAAACGGATAACGGGGTGGTGGTCAGTATTTTATATGCACCTGAAATAAGCGGATAATGGGGTAGTTGTCAGTAATTTGTTTGCCCCTGAAAAAAGCTGATAAAGGGGTGGATGTTATTATTTTGCTTGGCCCTGAAAGAAACAGATAACGTAGTGATTGTCGGCAGCCATACGCCAACTTTTGCAATGTTCTTCACATAAAGTTGGAGCTAACCAAATTCTAACCACTGTTTAATTATCTCTTGCCTTTTATAAACCTGACATATGAAGTGATATTTTGTATGTGCAAGTACATGGATAATTATAAACATGTGTGAGTTAATATAATAGCTATATATATAAAACAGACGTTTATTCCTTAGTAGTTTCACATCTATAGATGCTCTTCAGAGTAAATCTTAAAACATAAAAACCAGAATAACAAACAAAGAGAATCAAACTGGAAGGTTGATATATCTTTAAAACTGCTGCTAAAGTACATTAAAACATAAACAAATATATATGTGTGTGTATTTAGCTAAACCATTAAATTACCCACTTCTTTCTATTGAAAACCACATTATGCATCTGAGTGTAAAGAACTGACTACAACAACTAGATAATACCATTAAATGTTTAAACAAAATACATCAAAGATCCCAGCAGTGATTAGTGAAATTAATTGTAAAATTGATAGTATTTTTGCTTACATTTTATTTTGTGAACCTATTATTAGCGATAATGTAATGAACCCAGTAGCATTTGGTACATAAATAGTTTAAAAAGTTGGCGAGCCTACGATTAAAGAGTGTTTAGTTTAAACCTTGATATAGCAGTTATTTAGTGGAATAAATTTAATCACTTAGCTACTGGATGAAGATCTTGAAAATAGAAAATACTTAGGCTTAGTATCATTGAAAATACAAAATACTTACGTTTAGCATCAGGCCAGCCAATTACTTCACCTATTAGCTGACTGTCCAGCCAAGTCTCTAGTAGTTCAAAGTACGTGGATATGGACCTTCCGCTCATAGAGGGCTCACCCGTCAAGAGTTGCATAACTTCCGGCCACGGTCGAGATGACCCTAGACTGAGGGCTTCACTACAAATGGTTTAGTAATAAACATCAAAATTAACAATTAAAGTTACAAAAGATTCAGTAGTTGAGCATTAATATTACCAATTACAAAGATAGAAGATTTAGTAATGTAAGTTAATACTATAAGTTCTAAAATAAGTAGACAACTACTATAAATCCACTATTAACAATAGAAGTTGTAAAATTCTTCGAAAACCGAAACGCATATTCTATTGTCACAAATTAGGAAGTGTATCTCTTCCTCCACTTAACAAGAACAAGTGTAAGTGTCTGCGGACTTACAACGCTAGAATCCGGGTTTCGATACCCGTGGTGGGCAGAGCACAGATAGCCCATTGTGTAGCTTTGTGCTTAATTACAAATAAACAAGAAATAGATAAAATAATTATTTTTTTATTCAAAATAAATCCGGACCACAGCTGTAATTAGTGAGATTATTTGTAAAATTGGTAGTAAAAAGAAATGGATAAAATCATTATTTTTTATGCAAAATAAATCCGGACTACAGCTGTAATCAGTGAGATTATTTGTAAAATTGATAGTATTTCTGCTTACATTTTTCTTTCTAACCAATAGTTTATAGCAAAATCACAGCCTTAGAATAATTAGCTACAAAACATGGCCACAATTGTTAGGAGAATTTTTATTACAACATACAAGGAACATTGTCAATATTCAGTGACTTTTTAATACCTCCAGCCGGATATGCAGTAAATTGTTTGCTCATAGTACAACTCTTTGTCAGGTGAATGACTTTTATAAAAAGCTGTTTTATAAACCAGTTGTAATAGTGAATTTATATTATCGCTGCAAGATAACTCGGAAAATGCACACAGATATTTTAAATTTTCAAATAAGAATTTCTAGTATTCAAAGAACCTTGTAACAATTAATTGTTATTAAGCCTTAGACTAAACTGAGATATTGCATCCTATCTAAATTTTAGGAATAAAAAATTTAATTTATGGTTGGAAGATTAGACGAAAATTATATTCATCTCTCAAAGTTTGAACAACTACGCATCATTTTTGTATCGCAAGGCTTTATTGATTATGAAACTTCAGATACCGCTATCACTTTGATTGAAAATTAATTCAAATCCCCAATTGCAATTTTTAAGTTTTAGTTACTGCTTATTTAATTGTAAATTGTACAAAATAAAAAACATGCAGAAGCATAACTCTGAAGAGTTACAGTAAATTTGAAAGGCACCTCCAAGATATATATTTCACTAAGTATGGTATTACTTAGTATGTAGGGATGGGCCGAGAAAAAAATGGCTGCCGCATTCAATATATCACGCTATGATGCTTGTAAATAACTATTAAAGTTGAGTTATATTCTTATTTGAGCATCTAATTACCATTATCGATTGTTTCACAGTTTGTATAACAGTAATATTATTTTATTATTTTACCACACGTATTTTTGTGGGGAAATAATAAAAAGGAAAACTACTACTTAACATTGAGTTCAGTTTATAAACATATATTATTTCCATGTTGCATAAATAAAAGTTTCATTTCTAGCAGGACAAATTGTTTTTATATAAGGACCATTTGTGACTTTTCATTGCACAAACATGATATCTACCAAACAACTTTATTAAAAATAAAGAAATAAAGAAATAATAATCTAAAATAATATTCAATAAAAAATTGCAAAAATTAAGTGTAATGTAGGGATGGCAATGCCAAAATGTACAAAAGCAAGGTAGGGATGAATATACAAAACCATACAAAAATCCCTACATAAGTAGCCAGGAAGTACTGAGTCAATCTTACAAGCTTATGGTTATAGCACTCGACTCGCAATCTGAGGGTCGTGGGTTCGAATCACCGTCCCACCAAATATGCTCGCCTTCTCAGTCGTGGGGAAGTTATAATGTGATGGTCAATCCCACTATTCATCGGTAAAAGAATAGCCCAAGAGTGGGCGGTGGGTGGTGATGACTAGCTACCTTCCCTCTAGTCTTACACTGCTAAATTAGGGACGGCTAGCGCAGATAGCCCTCGTGTAGCTTTGCGCGAAATTCAAAACAAACAAACAAACAAAACCTCTTACAAGAGACTGCACTTTGTTTACCGTGCTGAGGTACGATTTGTTATAGGTCCATTTCTTATTGGTCCTGGTGTGCCAAGTTGATACATATTCCCTACCTTGAATATTCTAACTCTCCGATCTGAACATGTTTTTATGATTTGAGTTTATGAATATTTTGTGTCAGAAAGAGATGTTACATATCCTTCTTAAAAGTTGTAAATTTTTTTTTTGACATCACACTACCTAAAAACGCTAAATAATGCCAAATTTTAGTTCTGATACAGGTCGTTCCACCGCTTTGGCTGTCACGTGACTTGCTGATTTGCATATTAAAATCATTTTAATATAATGTTCTCAACCTTTGGTACAATACTAAATTGGGATAAGAATATAAGATAGCTATATCTTATCATAAAAATCTTAAATGATTCTGTTCAACAGTTATGTGAATATAAATAATGCAGAGTGAGAAAACGATTTTAAATATAACATTGTTATATATAGCTAGAATATGAGTATATATAAAGCAGAAAAGAGAAGTGAAATCGCTAACACTTCGACAAAAAAGTATGTCTGACCCAATAATTCCGTAAAATTGCTAATAATGTGAAAAATGAACAGAATCAAAATAAAATGTATACATATATAGGTGTTTTGGATGAGTAGTTGAAATAGCTAACCATTGAACACCTTGTTGACAGGTGCAGGAAGACAAATGTTAAACTGTATTAAATTAGACATTATTATACTAGGCACTTGAAGACGGTTATTCAAGTAGCTGATGACTGAAAATTGTATAATTCTAAATTTTAATTCTCAAAATGAATAGTACCTTACGCGCTCGTGAGCTGAGTAGCCAGGTCAAAAATTACTAGATTTCAGGTATAATCCTACCTAATTTACTAGGATCCAGATATAGTTCTACCTAATTTACAAGGATTCAGGCATAGTCGTACCGCCCGCCCCCCAGTGGCACAGCGGTATGTCTGTGGATTTACAACGCTAGCAACCGGGTTTCGATACCAGTGGTTGGCAGAGCACAGATAACGCAATGTGTAGCTAATTTACTAGGATTCAGGTATAGTCCTACCTAATTCACTATGTTTCAGGTATAGTCCTACCTAATTTACTAGGATTCAGGTATAGTCCTACCTAATTCACTATGTTTCAGGTATAGTCCTACCTAATTTACTAGGATTCAGGTATAGTCCTACTTAATTCACTAGGATTCTGTGTGACTTCGGTTTAAACAGTAATAACTAGTAATGAAAAATGCAGCACATATTGAAAAATTAACACACTGTATATACAGCATATGTAACAAGCCCTAGGTACTGTGCTGTCTTCTTACTACTGGGAATATTACATGCACTTTTTACAGAACACATCGTAAACTTTAACTTCGAATATGACCATAACAAAAGCACATGGCTTCCGTGTAGTCGAAAATAAGTTGATATTAAAATTAATAGTCAGAGACAAATTACTAATGATCTCACAGACGCTACAAACGAGTTACCAATTTATATGAAACACATATTACAAACCTTAGAGCATTTCCTGCCTCCTTACTCCTGTAAATATCACACTTGTACAGCGGTCCCTGGTGGCCTGCTTTCTTACAGAGTGCTTCATTAATTTGGAACTGGATTATGTAACTAACATAATAACTGTGAAAATATATAAAATTAATGTTTCTTTCCGAGCAACCTTATGAATAATTAATAAAGAATAATTCTAAGTATTTTAATAATGCTGAAATAAACATAAAATTATGGCAAAGTGAAATGCTGTAAATTACCATTGAATTGCGAAGTAAAATTTATTTATTGATGAAGTTATATGTGTATTGTCTGATTTTAGCCGAATATATGATGGTTTGAATGGAGATGAAGACACTTAGATTTTCGGCATTTTCGGCGTAATATTTTTAGATACATTAACACTTCATATGTACTGAAAACTATGTGTTTTATTTTTAACATACTTACAGTTAAAATAATAATTGCATTTAAAATTCGGTTTGATAAACTAATTTACAATTCAGTGAAGCTTTCAGTTATTTTGGATTTAAGATAATTCCTATTGGAATGTAAGGCATTAATCACTGCGAATAATAAATTATGACTTAACAATATGTTCAGTTTTTATGGAATTTAAGATAATCCGTTTTGACTAAAGATGTTAACTGTAACTTATAACTTGGCCATGTGTTTGGCTTTAATAGTGTATAAGGCCAAACGTTTTAATAAAAAAAAGCATTAAACACTGGACATAATAAGTTGTAATTTATAATAGATTCATGTGTTAGGCTTTTATGTGGTATAAGATCATGTGTTTTAAGTGAAAAGCTCTAAATACTGGACTATGTTTCAGTGGAGTGCATATTTCTCTCATGACATTAGACTTTTATAACTAATAATGCTAAATTGTTTTTAGAAATCGTAAATGAATGACTTGTATGAGTGAAACTTGTAGTTTTTCTTACTAGACGTACGCTGGTCGCAACTAGAAGACAATAGCTGTTAGTTGAGTTAGACACGAAGTTTTGTTTGAATCAAGGGTTCAGTATTACAATCATTCGTAATGGAATGAGAAGAGCTATTTCCAGAATATAGCAAACGCTTTAATGTATATCTGATTAATTTATTTACTTTCCACCAGGTGTTGATATCCCGAAATAGGAAAGACAAACTACTTCCTTCTTACGCTTCAGAGTGAAAGACAAGATATTATCTATTTTACTAATATAGAGCTAAGTTATGAATTCAGGTTTCAGGTTTATTACACTGACTGAGTAATGAAAACCTAAATCTATGATCACTTCTCAAGTAACTGAATTTTAAAGGCTATATACAAATAATAAATGTGATAAACAACCGTATTAGTAAACGTTATTGTATGATTAAGTACTGCTATCAGTTCTTACCGGATAAATGAGACTCCGGACGCAATATGGTATTTAGCACCAGCATCAAAATCCTCTTCAGAACGTTTCGTTGGAGGTGAAACACCTTGGTATCTTATCCTGTCAAGAGAGATAAACTAGAATAACACCATCATTTTAGAGGAAACGTTGTCATTTTATATTTAACAAATACTGTATGAATTCATAAGAAACAAGGAGTTCACAAGAAATACAAGGGAGTTTGGAATAATATCATTATTCTACGAAAAAAGTGTACTTTTATATTTAACAAATACTGTATGAATTCATAAGAAACAAGAAGTTCACAAGAAATACAAGGGAGTTTGGAATAATATCATTATTCTACGAAAAAAGTGTACTTTTATATTTAACAAAT